TTGAACGTCAAACGAGTGGTAAACTACAGGGATGTAGGGGTTGGGGGTGTTGTATTTTTAGGGCTTTTGGGTTTAGAGTTTAGGGTTTTTGTGGGAAGTCCATGGGCGCTTTCAGCTGTAAGAAGACAAGGATTGGGGTTCAAGGGCTTCGAACCCTAAACCCTAAACCCTAGTTTGGGGCCCTTTCTTTGTGGGCTGACATCCTCTTTGGGAGTTAGTTTGAGCCAAGGTCCTATGAGGAGGATCGGGGCCTAAGATCTGAGACCAGGAGGATGCTCCACCCAAGCCACCCTTGAGCCCCCAAAACCCACAACCTCATAGAAAGCTCTGAACCCGGAGCCTTGAAAGACACGGGAACTCAGAACTCTACATCTCTGCATCGCACATGGTAAACCCCAAAGCTTGAATCTTAGGTAGGTGGGTCTGCGATACTTCAAAGACCCAGAAGCGGCCACATGACGCGGAGTTTCCTAAGCAACAACCCTAAACCTTATTTCAGAGCTTGAACCGTCGGCCCCCATTTCCAAAGCCTTAAAATCTTCCCTTCAACCTATCCTAAATCCTAAACCCTAGACCTACCCTACCCCACGTCTCCCTTAACTCCCTAGGCCCTAAGCCCCTAACCCTGCGTCTTAGTGCAACTCCCTGAACTCCAAACCCTAAATCTGAAGACTAAAATCGTAAACCCCAAGCCCAAGGGTAATCAGAATAGGGTTTTGGGCTCCTGTTTAGTCTGCATAGTATAATTATAGGTTCGGGGTTTAGGGTTTAGGGTTAAGGACCCCCCCCCAAAAAAAAAAAGCGTAGGTAATTATTAAGGCCCCTTTATTAGACCCTAACCCCTAAACCCTAAACCCCTAAACCCTTAAACCCTAAACCCTTAAACCCTAAACCCCTAAACCCTAAACCCTAAACCCTTGCAATGCCACACGCAAGGTCGGGCTCCCGGACGACCGCGACCCGCACAGGGACCAGGTCTCCGCGAGGCCCGTCACATCCAGCACACCCCTTGAGCTCAGAGTGTTGTGGTTTAGGGTTTAGGGTTTAGGGCTTGAGGGTTGAGGGTTTAGGGCTTTAGGGTTGAGGGCTTTGAGTTTAGGGTTTAGGGTTTAGGGCTTGAGGGCTTTAGGGCTTTAGGGCTTTAGGGCTTTAGGGCTTTAGGGTTGAGGGTTTAGTGTCTAGGGTTCAGAGTGTTGTGAGCTCAAGGTCTTAAAGATTGGGGATTCTAGATTAAGAGTTTGGGGCTTAGTCTCAACCTGTCTCAACGCCCCTAAACCTCAAAATCCCCAAAAGCAGAAACCCTGAACCCCCTCAAACTCTAACCCCCCTAAACCCTGGGCCCCCTAAACCTCTAAATCCCCGAAACCCCCAAGCCCGGAAACCTGATCAATGCTCCAACCCCACATGGGTAGCCTTTCTGGGTTCCTTTTTATAAAAAGTGCCGTACTCTTTTGGGGGACCTTAAAAGGTGACCCTAAGCTAGAGAACTACCCACCCTAAACCCTAAACCCTAAACCCAAAGCCCTAAACCCTAAACCCTAAGCCCTAATCCCTAAACCCTACACCCTAAACCCTAATACCTAAGCCCTAAACCCTAATCACTAAACCCTAAACCCTAATCCCTAATCCCTAAACCCTAAACCCTACACCCTAAACCCTAAACCCTAAACCCTACACCCTAAACCCTAAGCCCCAAACCCTAAGCCCTAATCCCTAAACCCTGTTTTAGAGAACTACCCACACGTGCCACCGGGAAGCAGCCGCATCAGGAACTCAGGTTCTGGAAACCTCACGGATCTCAAGGCTTTAGGGCTTTAGGGCTTTAGGGTTTTGGGCTTTAGGGGTCCGGGCTGTAAGGGTTTTAGGGTTCAGGCTTTAGGGCTTTTCGGGTTTAGGGTTTAGGCGTGAGGGCTTTAAGGGTTTTTTGTTTGGGCTTTGGGGTGTTAAGGGTTTAGGGTTTAGGCTGCCGGGTTTTCAGGGTTTAGTTTGCGTTTAGCAGGGCTTCGGGTAGTTTAGGGCTTAGGCTTCAGGGCCTCGGGGTCACAGTCGAAGTCGCCAGGTTCGAGTTTGCAGCCTGGAGCTTTGGACCCTCAGCTCTGAACCCTAAGGCCCTAAACCCTAAACTTAAACCCTAAACCCTAAACTCTGAACCCTAAACAACATCTAAGCTAGGGGGCCTTAGAAGCAAGGATGCGGCATGCTCTTCCTTGAGCTCCGCGAGGAGCTCCTCGGCCCGAGCTTGTGAGCAGAGCTGCTCGGTCCTCGCCGCCACCCTGAGACGACGACAAACACAGTCGCCGACCTTCAGGATGCTCCTTATAGTCGTCCTCCTTAATCTTTCCGGCCGTGAGCCCGGCCTTGAACAAACGTGGGTCCTTTGCTCTTCCAAGATGGCCGCGCCCTGGCGAAGCAATCACGAGGACACGACCCGGGGGTGGCCCCCGTCGAGACGGGCGCAAGGCTCGTGTCTTGGTCGGGCACCTGGGGGTAGGCAAACGATGGAGGGCGCTTGCCACTGGGGTGGGGGTCCACTGGAAGGTTGGCGTATCTGCCGAAGGACAGGTAGGTCACACAGACTGGCTGTAGCCTGGGATGCCAGACTCAGGCGCCATGGGCTTTTCCAAAATTACTAGCAAGGAGAGGATTCCTGTAGAAGGCTCTTTAAAGGCAGCTATGAAGGATGTATAGGGTTTTTATAGGGTTTAATACCGAGGGTAGAATGAGTTTTTGGTGCATTTTCTACTATGACTACATTCAGGAACCCGAAGGAATAGTAGTACCAACCAGGCAGACCGCTACGTCCAGCCCGCTGTCTCCGAAGCCTACTGTAGGGCCTGAACCATTACCAACACACGCTCCTTCAGGTTCTTTCGTATAATAAGTATACTGGGGTTTAGGGTTTTGGGGTTTATATTGGCCACAACCACCAAAAGGTTGAAAATCCACGAAACTGGCACCAAGTAACATCCCGACTCGAACTATACGAAAGCAAAATCGGACATGGCGGAAGGAGGGCCGCCAACCAGTCGATCAACCAGCGCAACTGTCAACACCAGGGTGGCCGGGTCGTCGGGCAGAGTCTTACAAGACCAATGCCCAAAACACGCTGTCCCTGAAAAAACAGTGTCCCGGAAAGCCCAAGCTCACCACTTACAAAAAGCATCTTGGTTCCAACACCTTCGAGTCCTTGAGCTCTCGACCTTAAAAACAATCTCAACTCGAAAACCGGCTGAGGGTTTGGAAACAGCCCTAAACTTTACCCACGTCGAGCTGCTCCAGGGTGTCCAGGTCCAGTCCTATATGTTGGGCCTCGAGCCAGTGCACGAAAATCTGGTTCGGCACCTGGTCTTCCGTGGGTCCAGGCTTTGGTTTAGGGTCTACGGTCCAGGCTTCAGGTTTTTTTTGTTTGGGTTCTAGGGTGAAGGGTTTACGGCTCGTTTAGTCTTTGAGTGCGTGATTTCCTCCTTGCAGGCGTTGGGGGTTCAGAGTCTCGGGGTTCAGGGTTTAGGAGAACGGAGCTTCAACCCCCCTCAGCCCCCAAAGACCTGAACCTGAGAGCCGTGACCCCAGAAAACCTAAACCCTCTCCGATAGCACTGTTTAGGGCTTAGTGCCCCTTTCTTAAAATCATGTTCTGTAAGATACAGTATCCACCGAACATATAATGAAGGATGTTGGAGTTTCTGCGCGAGCAGCGCCGGGTGAAAAGTCGGCCCGAAGCTCAACACCTTAAAGCAAGTAGTGCCATCTATGCATAAGGCCTGCTTCTAAGCTGTCTTCCACAAACAGGCTTCAGGGGCCGGGGTTGACACTACCAGAAAGTCCCTTGGAGGTTCGGGGCTTGGAAAACTGCCTCTCTAGAGAACCTTGCATCGTCCTAAACCCTAAACCCTAAACCCTAAATCCTAAACCCTAAACCCTAAACCCTAAATCCTAAACCCTAAACCCTAAACCCTAAACCCTAAATCGTGACCATCACAGCTACAGTAAACTATCCGGGTTCAGAGCCTGCAGTTGGGGACCGGATCTCCAGCCGAAGGGTGGGGATCGCACTACTGTGAGTTCGGATTAGGGGGGCCCTTGGGGATGTAGACCCTCTCAATAAGGTCACCTTTTAAAAGAGTCACAAGTAGGGTTCAGAAGGGTCCGCTTTAAGGGGTCTCCCTAATACTGCCGAGGAACTACAAGCATGTCACTCAGGATGTCTGCCAGCACCTTCCGCAGCGTCCTGCACGGATTTAGGATCGGGCTCGGATTCAGAACATGCTGGTGCATGCTTCAGATACGCATCTCTAAATTAGAACCTTTGCTTACAACCCGTCCAGAGTTCTGCTTGCAGTCAGCTCCTTCCAAGCCAAATAACTGTATCTGAAGGATCTTTTGTGGAGCACCGGGATGTTTCTTAAGAGAAAATTCAGAGAGCTCGGCGCGTGGATCAACGCAGGTTGAGGGCTTTTGATTCTTCGACAAAAGGCAGGGATTTCAAGGCAAGAGGGTGGTAACAAGTGAGCCAACATACAATTCACAGATTCAGCCCTCATCCCCAAGTCCGGGCCTAGGCTGCAGATATTAGGTCAGCATCTCCTGCCGTTCATATATATATATATATACACAATACTAATAATAATAAGAATAGTAATAATAATAATAACAATAATAATAATAATAAACTGTTTAGGGTAGGTCCTACAAGCGTGCCATACGGCTCTTGTAAATGTGTGGTACGGGGTTTAGAGTTTAGGGGCTAAGGCTCACAATCTGTTGCTGGTAGACCTATCGGCAAGCGGAGCCCAGCAGTCTCAAAAGAGTTGCCCATGCATGTGGTATTTCAGGCTGAGTGGAAGTTCTGGGTTTAAGCACAAGGAATCCGAACCACAATACCCAAAGAACCAAACGCCTTGATTTATGAAACTGGCATCGCAACAACCCGAGATGTCGGCGGATTCTAAACCTTGAATGCTGAACCGCAAAACCTCAAACCCGATACCCTAGCCCCATGTCCGTGTGACGATGTCCATCTTCAGTCCCAATGCCAATCCGCCTGTAAACAACACACGGCCAGCAAGTTCTTCGGCTCAGGGCCTATGGCTTGGAATTTCAGTCGCTGGGGTGCAGTCACCATTAGTAGCGGTATGTAGCACTAGCAGTAGCAGCAGGAGCAGGGGTAGGAGCAGGAGGAGTAGGAGCGGGAGTAGGAGTAGAGCTAGGGTCGGCGCAGGAGTAGGAGTGGGAGTAGGAGTAGGTAGGAGGAGTAGGAGCAGTAGAAGCAGCAGCAGCAGCAGGAGGAGTAGTAGTAGTGTGGTAGGAGGAGTACGTCGACTTTCATAACGCTTGGGCTTATGTGGCGCACACACGCGAAACTTTTCGCGCTAACCGCTGTACAGGAACCTGATTTTGGCAGCTCGTCAGAGCCTGCTGTGGCATGGTGCAATTTCGCGCTTGGGACCTGTACGCTTGTAGTATAAAGGCATGCTCTCCATAAGTCTTGCATGCCCCAAGTAGAATGAAACTATGTAAAGACTTTCGCGGACTGTTTTGATTCCTTTCCCGCATCATGGCGAGACTTTCGCGGCCACATTCATGTGTGCTGTGTGTGTGTGTGTGCGTGCAGATGAGGGTGTTTTAGGATGTAGGGTTTAGCGGTGATAAAATTCTGGGGTGTTGCCAGCAGGTCCGAGGTGTACAATGACTACCCTACACCCTATTGTCATGGTTATGCTTTATGATTGTTGTGACGCTTTTATTGCATAGGGGCTGTCGTTCAACGACACCGAGCCATAATCCTTGATGTAATGCTTAGGCCAGCTCTTCTTGTGCACTACGGAGATAAAGCTGCCTAGATCCAGCGATCTGCTGGACCCTCAATCAGCAGTATCGGCGTTGCGCAAGATATGGAAGCACACATTGCCCCGAAAGGCGCTTGCCAGGCAATGCAACACACCTAAGCCTAAACGGCCTCAGCCCAAGCAATTAAAGCAAGGACCCGATTGCAACCCTGCAAACCCTGTCTGTTCATAGAACTCCCACAGAGAGCAAAGCCCAGAACCCACGCGGTTTAGGGGTTGATGGCTTGGCGGGCTTAGGGTTTAGGTTTGGGGTGCCTGTGAAAGTCCAGTGCGTCATGGGTGGAGACAGCATGGTGATCTGCATGCCACCCACCACAGGCAGCCTCAGAAAGAAGGGGTGGCATAGGATTTAAAGAAGCCTAAGACCCTAAACGCCTAAACCCCTAAACCCCTGAACCCTAAACCCCTAAAGTAAAGGCTTCAGGTTTAAAGCTTAGGGGTTCAGAAATAACCTTGGACTCGGCGTTGTCCATTGGCAGACTTTTGGCTTCACTGGGGCCTCAAGTTTGGGTCTTACGGAGACATCACCCAGACTGTCTACCTTAACCTACCAAAACCTACTTTTTTGTAGGGTCCCTGTAAACTCCTTCTTAGAGTCTTAGAGTTTATACTACAAAAAGGATAGGTTTGGGTAGTTGAAAGGTAGGTGCAGGCTGCGGGAGTCGAGAATGTCAAACCCGGCAAGCTCCTTCCAACAAGTGTGATCCTTCTATTGTGGGTTTACGGTTTAGGGTTTCGGGTTTAGGGTAAAACCCTAAACACGAAACCCTAGAGTGATCAACCACGCCCAGTCTCCAGGGCTCCTTCTTATAGTACACTCTACCCGGTTCTACTTCTCCAAGACCCCTGTGTCGGGGCTCAAGATCCAAAAACCACACTGGCGCAATCACACCACAAGCCCGGAAGCTTTGTCTGTCAGGTGATAAGTAGACCCTCATCAGTCTGAGGGTGTGGGACTCGGGTTTAAGGTTGAATGAGGTATATACTCATGTATGAATGTATGTATGTATGTATGTCTGTCTGTCTGCCTGCCTGCATGTATGTATGTATGCATGTATGTCTGTCTGCATGTATGTATTTAGGTAAAAAATCATGTATGTATGTATTTAGGTTCGGCCGGACACGAAATTCCGCTGAACCCCTGAACCACACAACCTCCAACTCCAACTCAAGGGCCTCTTTGGTCTTAAACCTACCCAGAAAGCCTACTCTTTTTTCTTAATTTTGGTAGAGGTCTCTCTACATACATTCTATGTTAGGGCTTAGAGTGAGACTCTTATGTTTGGTAGTTTAAGCGATAAACTACCAAAGATAGGATCTTCCTCTAAACCTTAAAACTTTAGGGTAATATAGGGGCCTTAACAATTAGAATAGGGTTTTGGGGGCTCCTTATTATGATTATAGCATAATGGACCCGTAGGGCTTACATTCGGAGGTGCAGCTTCCCCGAAACTGTGGGATGCTATATATTGGCTCCTGGATTGAAGGTGTAGGGTTTGGGTTCGGCACTCAGCTTCTAGGTTCCCCAGTAACCCTTTAATAATAAATATTCAGTTTTAGTAAGGGGACCCCAAACTAAAAAGGGCAAAAGGGTACTACTGGGGCACCTAGGCTTGTTGGCTTTGTCATTCGCCTTAGCCGCTAGGGTTTCGAGGTCTCCAGACACCCCGTTCACTGACTTTTGGTGTCTTGAAGGCTTGCTGGCAAAGAGCGTCTCAAGCAACGGCCGCAGTCGCAGGTGCACGCTGCCCTTGAGGGAAAAATTCTCCTCAGCTTTAAACATCTGCAGCTTTCGGGATTAAGCTTCAGGATTTAGGGTTTAAAGTTTAAAGTAGGGTTTCGGGCTTCGCTGTCACAAACCCGATGAAGCCTACGCCCTGAACATTCAGCCAGAAATGAGCCCCGAAACCCGAAACCCGAAAGAAATTCGAGATCCGATGCCAGGAATGACGCAAACGCTGCACTGCTAGACTGCCTGACAATCAGAGACTCCGGCACAATGTTTCTCGTTCTGAACTGGCTGTGAGATCTGAAACTAAGGAATAGTAGAATCAGAAGACTATCATCGGGAAGTTGAACGCTGAACACATCACTGGAGATTACTTACCCTAAACCCCCAAACCCTAAACCCTGATCGGTATGGCCCCACGGAGGCAGGCTTCAATGCCAATCTCCACCGCGCCGATTCGAAGAATAATCTTGCCGTCGCACAGCCAGGTCACCTTGGTGCGGAACCCCCAAACATAAAGCCCATGGTTTTATGGTGGTTTTACGGCTTATAGAACCATATAAACCCATGGTTTTATGTTGGTTTTAGGGTTTACCCCAGGTGCAGCTCGTCCTCTGGACAGACACCCCCAAAATTCCTGAACCCTAAACCCACCCCACACCCTAAACCCAAAAAACCCTGAACCCTAAACCCAGGGACCCATCAGCCCCACATCCAAAGCCCTACCTGAAATCCCCAATCTGGCCGAGACTCATTTGTGTCAATGTTCAGGCCTTCGAAGCCATTCCTCTGCTTAGGGCTTATAGGTCTTAGGGTTTAGGGGGGGTTTAGGGTTTAGGGTTTAGGGCTTAGGGTTTGGGGTCTAAGGTGTGGGGCTTGGGGCATACTGTAGGGGGTTTGTGGGTGTGGGACTGTGGTCGGGGGTCTCCAAGCCGGAAAACGTTCCAGCTTCCAGAGCCCTAAAACCCTTAACCCCTGCACCCTAGTCCGAAATCTTAAACCTCTAACCGTGATCGCTGGGCTCTGAATCTAAAGCAAGCCCTCCGGATCGGCACAGTAAATTTTGTAGCTTATTATAGGTTCCAAACTCTTTTCTTTGGGGGCTTAAAGTCTAGGGTGAAGGGTTTGAGGTTTGGGGTCTAGAGTCTAGGGCTCTAGGTTTAGGGTTTAGGATCCAGTGCTTAAGATTTCAGGGTGTAATGCAATGGAGCATGGCATGCTCTCCCAAATACCCTAAACCCTAAACCCTAAACCCTAAAACCCTAAAACCCTAAACTCTAAACCCTAAAACCCTAAACCCTAAAACCCCAAACCCTAAACCCTAAAACCCTATAAGGTTTGATCAGTTTGCTGGGGGTGTGCACCTACGACCAAACTTTGAAAACCCTAAACGCCAGACCCTGACCCCGACACCACACCCGGAGCGGATCAGCCCCCAAACCCTAATTTCGGAATCGAAACCATTAGGGTTTTGGGTGATTTGGGTGATTTGGGTGCTATTATGGGATATAGGGACTATAAGGGGAGAATATTGCGACCTACTCTGGCCCCTTTATTATACACCCGATACTCTAAACCAACCCTAACAAACCAAGGTGCTGCGTCTCAAAGAAAGTCTGGATGGGCCCCAGGACCGGTTTTCGGTCGCCCAGATTTATTTCCTGGTCATGGGTTTACGATTCATAGAGGGGCCTTAACAATTAAAACAGGGGTTTGGGTGTATATTATACTATATAAGTATTCTTATATAAGTATACTAAGGAACCCCCAAAATAGTCTTGGTAGTTATTTAGACCCCTATATTACTTTAGAGTGCAGGGCTAAGGCTTAAAGGCTTATGGCTTAAAGATACAGGGTCTGGGGGTTCAGAGTTCAGGGTTCAGGATCGGGCGTTACGGAGTTCGGACGGAAAGATGTCCTTTGAACGAAAATCGTCCTTGCTGTCTGAACGATGAGCACGAACCCTTGGCTTGTTGGGCTTGTTGGTAAGTACAATCTTATTCACCCCAGCGTGTCAGGACTACCGTTAGCACTACCGTAGCTACACCTCTTAGTCTTGGCTATGTTGTGTCTCTTCTTTTCTTCTACCGCTCAAAGCGTTGTTCTTGCTCTTCTCCTCCTATAGCTCTACTGCCCACGCCCGTCCTGGGAGGAACCTTGTAATATCGACACAGCAGGGGCAATGGGGCCAGGGCCCTGACACCCAAAGCCCGAACCTCCCACTGTGCCGTCAGCGCCCAAAACACACCAAAGCAGTAAACTCGATGCCCTAAAGCCCTAAACTCTAGAGCTCCAACCCCTAAACCCTAAATCCTAAACCCGAAGCCCTAAACCCGAAACCCAAAATCCTAAACCCGAAGCCCTAAAGCCCTAAACTCTAAAAGCCCCAAA